TGCGGCTGAACATCTTAAATTAGGGGCTCATATTAAGCAAGATATCTTGTGATCAATGAATGAAAAAGAGCCATAAGCCTACAAGACTCTGCTCTCCAGCAAAGTGGCTGGACATCCACAGCCTTCTATTGGGGTATTGCAACACAAACTACATGACAAAGGCAGCGCAAAGCAAATGTCTAAATAATGATGCAAACTGTTCCCTTGATGAGAAGGAAACGGAGACCATCGCTGTGAAAATAGAGGGTAACTTTGACCTGTCCATTAGGATCTGGATGAGCACATCCCTGACAATATTCAGACTTTTCAGAGGTTTCCCACTCTTGTACTACTGTAGGTTCTAGACTCCCACGATATTTCCATGTTTCCTTAAAAAGTTATATACAGCTCCCTACCTTTGCAAGGTCTAAAATTGATCCATTTAAGGTTTAAACTGGGCTTGTTTGTCTTTTCTCCACAGCCTTCAACCGTGGACGTTTTAAAAAGACACAGAAACCCTGCTGGACTCTGGACCCCAAGAGCGGGGAACCCCCTGTCTGACTGAAGACGGACTTCTGTACTGACACACAGAATGGGGATGATGGGGTAAGACTTTTTGACAGCACGCTGGAGGGAAAACAGTGTTCTATTCAGAGCTGGTGTGAGCCAGGTTTATCACTTAGCTCATCCAGACCAAAGTGACCTCACCTGAAATGCAATTCTCCCTCTCCCAGTGCTGAAATACAGGTAGCAATCACTCTCACCTGAAAACACGCTCTTGGGCAGGGCCTGAGGGGCAGAGTGGATCCGATCCTCCGCACCACACTGCGGGTCGACCCGTGGGGCTTGTTCTGCCAAATAGGTATGACCTAACAGAGAGAAATAAAGAGGCAGGCATTTCGAGTAAGGGAGTGCCAAACAATGTGGCCGGGCAGGTGCCAACCTTAGGTATTCACCCCATGAGCTCTTGTCTGTGACAGCAGTGACTCATCTTTTACACATTTCTAAATTACCACATCTTCCAGGAGACAAAGTTCAAAAACATTCATCGCTAAGATTTCTTAGTAGCTGCTTCACCCCTCAGCCCACAAGGCTTAATTTTTATAAACAAAACCCCCTCCATAATTCACTGATTTAAACAGAGAAGCCGTAGTGAACTTTACTTTAGCAGCAGGCATTGTAAGCAGGTGTTGTAATAAGACGTTTGCCTCACAACGGCCACATACAATGCAGTGGGCAATACAGTGTGATTAATGAGTGTCAACAGAGTAGTATTCCTAGTTATTTATCCCCATAGCGTTACTAACTAGATGTCAAGGAAATATTATAACAAAATCCAATAACCACCATTAACTGAAAATAACCCCGGCCCTTGAGAAATGTCTTGTCTTCAGTGCCTTCATTACCAGTTTTAATTCAGCACTCATAGATTAGTATATTTTTATTTAAAAAAAGCAAAATATCGGAGATCCGAATAGAATTCATCACCAGCTGCAAGTGCTCAGCTTATTTTACAATCCACAAAGCACTTTTTTTTCCCAAATTTCCAAAAAACTAACCGGGCCCGGGCCAAGGCAAAACCCCGAACAAAATCAAAACCCGGAAAAAAAAAAAAAGAAGCCCCCGCCTTTAACCCAAGGGCCAACAAGGAACCGGAAAACGCAAGGAAAACAACTAAAAACCCAAAAGAAAAGGAACGGTAAAAAACCGGAAAAAAAAAAGAAAAAAAAAAAACAACTTGACAAACCTGACGAGAGAGCTGCACAACATATACGGGCTACATGTAGGTCATGATATTTAAATGCCCACCAGAAACTGATTCTGTGAAAAGTAGCTAGTTAGTTCTAGTTAACTACGGCAGACTACCTGTCCTGCACAGCATCTCTCACACCTGAAGAAGGCTCCACGTTGTTTTCCTTCTTGTCTTTTCAGCATGAAATAAACCTATTACTTATTCCTTTGCTACCTATACTGCATGTCACCGTGTTAGTTTCTACCGCTGAGAGTATGATGCGTGTGAAATACCCACCGTGAGATCACAAATTATTTACTTTAGAGTTATTCTTGAGTCCAGAGCAGTATTAGTATTCGTGTATTAGTGACCATGTAGGTTACTGTATGAATCCTTTTGGACAACCAGGAATTCCTCGACCTAGAGGGTATTTCAAAAACAGCCCCAGATGACCCTGTTTGTCGGAGCTATGGCGTTTAAAACCCTGTGCGTACCCCCCCTCCCACCACCACTAGTGTCCTGTACAAAATAAACAGATATCCTGAAATTTTACTCACGATCTTCAAGGTTTTTAAATTCATCAGCCACAAAAGAACTCCCCGGCTTAAACACTTGCGGCCGCTCTCACCTTCCTCTTTCCCTGATATCGTTGTTATTATCGCTTAGTGGAAACCAATAAGACTAGACAGAACTGGAACCATAGAGTACTACAGTAGCTAGAGCAACTCTACCACCGGGCCCGAGTAACAAAGGGTTCGATCTCCAGTCACACTGCCCCCTTGCGTGAATTTACAGTAATGCAGTTCCCTAATTGACCTTTTCCATGCTGTTAACTTACGTTAGAAATGTATTTTTTTTCCTTATTCACAGCTCACTTCCCTTTCAAATGATAAACTGAAGAAACTAGAGACAATCTCCGAAGCAATGGGTCTGTTTATGCACAATTGCTTTGTGCAACAGATAATATAATGCACTTGGTGAATATTTGCAGGCTTTGCCACCAGATGTCCCCGAAGACCCAATGAATAGCCTTAAAGTTATTTTACACATATTATGCTCTTCGCTCTTGCGGTAAAAATCTGACGTCTGTTGCAACAAAGTACGAGATCAAATTAATGACGTGCAGTTTCCTCACTGCCTGGGTATCTGGCCTTGCTTCAAAAATATGTATTTTAAAGAACATTGTGCTGTTTGACGGTGTGATTTTAAAACATCAACAACAACAACAACACACTGCATCTTTCCAGTTTCTTGAAGGTTGCCAAGGAATCAATTCCAGCGGCATTTTAGCACAGTGTAATTACGCACACTCTCAGCTCGACTCTGAAGACCTCACTGCAGAAGAATGCAATTTTAGATCCCGCTGGCGTTCAAGGGCTCTTGTAGGTGGATGGCAGTAATGGTGATGATAGTAGTGGTTAAGTGTGGGCGGAGAGGGATGTAGGGGTGGTGTCCACCTGAATAATTAACAATATGTCATTTTTTTTTTAAGGAATGGTACCACCGCTTCTTGCAGTACAACGAAAATACCTCTAGTCCTCGGAGGCTATCCTGCGCCTGGTGATAACCGTGCGCTGCGCGTACTCTGCTCACGCCAAACCGAGGAGCTGGGAGCTACACCGAAGGACACCCGCGGTGCCAAAAATGAGGATCTAAAAAAAAGTTACCACCCGGTGAACCTGCCGTTTCGTTCTGGGGTCTGGAGCCGGGCAGACACCGCGCGTCGTCTGGGGAGGTCGCGCCGCGGAGAGAGAGGCGGAGCCGCCGGCTGAACTTGTCAATTTCTGCTGAGGGAGCCAGAAAACACGAACACCCGCACCGAGAAGTGCGCCGAGCGGTCTGGGGGTCCTGTCCTCGCCTCCGAGTGGAGGCAGTGCTGGGAAAACCAGGTTTGTTTGGGGTTTTTTTTTTGTTCTCTTTTGCTAAGCTCAAGTCCGAAAATGTGAGAGGTGTTTGGTATTTTAGGGGGGAACGCATCGCAACGCAACGAAATGCACCAAATGCATCGGGTCAGGGTGTATGCTGTATAGACGGTCAACTGCTTTCTTCTCTATCGAGCTGTTATCGACAGTCACATTTCCTTGAACTTCAGGACGAAATAGAAAAGGGTCCATAAAGAGTAGGACGTCATTTAACTCTGTATTTTGAAAGAAGGTGCCTAGCGTGTACTCCAAAGCCGCGGGAACAGAACCATTATCGTGCAAACGCAAATGCGACACCGAGACACTTCGGAAGTGCTCTCATCTGATTTGGGCCACAGGCATCCCGGCTGTCTGACAAAACACACCCGGTCCATCGCTGGAATTTTTGTAAATATTGTCGTTTGGGATCTGACTATCAGGTAGCAGAGCAAATCCCTCCATGTTAACATACAGCGTCCAAAGTCGTGTTCAGCTCAGATCTAATTATCATGCAGTGCCAGTCTCTGTGTTAACGCGCAACATGCTAGCTGGGTTTAGGCCACTGACTTGCTGAATTGTTTTAGTTTCATTACGAGTCCAAAATGTTTGTATTGCAGAAATGGCATAGAAATAGTGGAATTAGCCATCTTATAATTTAATAATGACATTGCTCTCCCTTTTGCATTTTCTGAAGTATTGACTGCATCATTTCTTTGAATTGCTATGTATCATTGTTACATTAAAAGAACAACTGGAGGCTATATTAGATTGGTTTTACATAAGAGATGGAGATATCACTCTTTGTAATTGTACTTTCACCCCATAAAGGAGAAGTATAATCATTATTAAGCATGAAAGGCTATTTACTCACCTACAGAATTTGATCTATAGCCTCTAGTTTTCATGCCTCCTCAGTGTCACCTGTCTTTGGGTCAATGTGACGCACACTTTCAGAACAAGATGTCAGAAGAGTGTGAAAGGACTCTCCTCTGAGTGTCTTGCAAGTGCGAAGGGGTTTTGGGCCCACCCAGCTCATTTGTAGGCCTTTGGGTAACTGACGCAAGCGTCTCATCCAGCCCTTTAATGAAGGTATCGCCTTCGACAGGCTGCAGGCACCCACAACCCTTTGTGTAAAGCCTCCTGCTCTCAGTGTTCCTGTAGTTTCCCCTGCTAAGAGTTCACCGTGTCAGTGCCTTTTTAAGATTTTGAATCTTTTTTTTGAGTCTTTTGTGTTCTAGAGAGCAAAAGGATACATTATTTTAGCCTGTTACTACAGGACATTCCTTTTTGCACTATGGTGATGAAAAATGAACACAAATGAGGCTTTATTTGAAATTCTAAGTATATATTCTAAGATTCTGACTGCCTTATTATTACTTGCATGCATGATCAAGAAGATAAAAGGTATATAAACATAAATAGGTGTCTTTTTTTGCTTATAACCTAGTCTAAATTAAGTGTCATTAATCATTCATCATTAATCATTAATCCGGTCCAGAATTCTTTAAGAATCCTTTTGAATTCTCTTTGCAGCTTCTACACTGCACTATTGATTACTCTGTAATCCTTTTATTTTTAAAATTTATTTTGGGCAAACCGTATTCGTTTTCTGATGATGCCAGAATATAGGTAATTGATAATAGTTCAGACTTGCAGTGTTCCTACACCAAACTGGTTTTGGTGAAATGAAATGAATTTGAACACTCACCCATTATCTGTACTCTCTGTTTTCTATTCATTAACCGGTTCTTAATTCAAGCACATATATTTCCTTGAATGCCTACAGCCTTCAATTTGCAAATTAATCTCTTATGAGGAATGTCATCTAAAGCTTTCTGAAAATCTAAATATACTTTATGACTTGCTCTGCTTGTAACCATTACTGCTGTGGCATATTCAAGGAATTCTAACAAGTTGAGCAAGACTTTCTTAATTTCATGCTGACTAACTCCTACGGTCACATTGCTGTTTTGACCAACCTCTAGAATCTACAATTTCCATAATGCTATATGGGGCAGAAGTAAAACGTATCAGTCTGTTATTGCAGGATCAGTCAGACTGCTTACAGTGAAAAATAATAATTATGAAGAGTTTCTTCTCTTTGCATGTTTTTAAGGGCATTTCTGGTTCAGAAGGGGTCTGAAATGTATCATTTACACCTTCACACCCAGGCTTTCCTCTCTAGGGGGCCACAAAAAAGGTCGATTTTGTAGGTCTTCTGAGATCTTGATGAGTTGTAGATCTGAGAAGTGAGGTCAAGGTGCTGCTGGCGTGTAATTTCTGTCAAATCAGCGACAGAAAGGACTCCCCGCTGCCTGATCTTCCCCGCCTGCTGCTGTGTTTCCAGCTGTGATGGAAATAAGGAGGTCACATTGTCCAGATCAGAGCCTGTGCAAATTGGCTGCATACAGGGCCGTTGGTGATGAAGCCTTTCATCCAGCAATCAGTACAGTGATCCCAGACTTTGGCTTTTGTCTCGGGTCACGTTCTTCTTGTCCCTTCAGGCATGGCTCTATTTTTAGGTCCTCTAAGGACACCCCGATCTTTACAGCCTGGCGACTCCCCTGCTCAGCATTGTTAACCACGTGAGACCTCAGCCTCAGATGTGCTTAGCTATCAAGGGCACAGGCAGGGCCTGCCTTTTTTTACACTGTGTGGAAGAAGCAATACCAAAATCTCAGGAACCGTGTGCTATCAGGACAGATCAGCTGGTAAGGCCAGATTGGAGGAGTGCTGATTTGCATTTCAAAGCGGAGGGGGAGAGGAAAGGGGAGAAGGGAGGGAACGCTAGTGCAGGGATCGATTGAGGCTGCCTCGATCTTCCTGCAGTCCACATTGCATCACCTTCTTTCTCTCTGCTGAGATTCAGCCCATCCGCTCCCAGGATCAAACCTCCCCCAGGGCAGAGGAGCTAAGCCAGGAATGCTTGCTAATGGCAGAGAAGACATGGAACAGTACCACTAGATTTGCCTGAATAATTTCAATAGTGATTTTTTTTTATCATTGTTTCTTGAGCATATTTACTTTGCCTTGTCAGCTTTTGACAGTTAAGTAGAAATATTATGGTGGCGCAGTGCGGTGTTGGGGCCCTAGGTTCAGTTCCTGGGGTGCTATGTGGAGTGGGGTTTGTATGTTCTCCCCGTGTTTGTGTGGGTGTCCTCCTGGTGCTCCTATGTCCTCCCACAGTCTTCTGGGAAAACTGGCCCTGGTGTGAGCGTGTGTGTTTATTTATTAAAATATTATTTTTGCTTGTTAAAACCAAAAGGAGGCTTTGGAACAACCACAAACAGTGTACAGGCTGAGCTTATAAGATGACTGGAAATATGCCTTTTCAGTGTAACCAGAATATCATTGAGACATTCATCTTTGATCATCTTTCACCTTCATGAAACAAAATCTACAGTTTAAAATAATATAGGACTCACAGTAGAGCATGATGGCACCTTTACTGAATTTGCCGATTGAGTTTAAAAGGGCTCAAAGACGTCACAAAGGACAAAAAAGTCTTTCAGCAAATATTTGTCTTTCCAAGAGCATTGAACCCTAAGTCTGATTGCAGAATACTTTTTATTTCCACAATAACCCCTTTTTCTGCCTGAAAACTGCATGTTAACTCTGTCACTACCTGTAATGTTGTTGTTTTTTATTTTGAATCAATTGGTCTGCTTGTCCATTCTTGGTTTTGTCCTGTGTGCAATAATGGCTATATTATTCTCAACTGATTTCCGCTCTCCATCCATGAGTTCTCTAAACCGCTTCATCCAGTTCAGGGCCACAGGGGAGCCGGGCGTGAGGCAGGGCACACCCCGGAGGGGACGCCAGTCCATCGCGGCCAGCTGATTAAATAAAGTGAATAATTCAGTTCAATTCAGTTTATTTTTCAATGGCGCCTTTCACAACAAGGTTACCCCAAGGCACTTAACAAAGCAAGTGACCATACATGGTGTGAATACAGAACAGAAAAGACCGGAAGACAACGGATGAGAGGAACCAAAAACTCCTTAGTAAGGAGAAGAAAAAAACCTCTAGGGGTCCAAAGTCAACTGGATGCCCAACCCCTTTGGGCATGCTAACAATTAAATATACATTTAATTGTATCAATATACAATTAAAAAAAGGAAACAATAAAGGTATTCATCCATCCAATATTCTGTATGTCAGTACTCCATGCAGATTTCTGTAGACCAGCAAAATCCTCCTAAACGATAGCTATATCCACGATATCCCTCTTGGATCCACGGCATTGATGCGCCATCCAACTCAGATGGTGCCCACCCCGGGCGCCATCCGGACATGTGGGGAGGAGAATAGGATAGTTTGGTCAGAACAGATGTATCTACCTGGTGGGCCAACACAGAGACACAAACTGGCATGTACAGCAGCACCAGCAGCCATGGTTGCAGCAGACTTAAGATGTAATAATTGTAATATTAAAACCCATGCCCCAGTATATGCTTGTGCATCTGACAATGCGCTGTGCACTGTCCTCTATTTGTTCAGGCCTATAGAATGTGAGAGTAACCCTCAGTGATGGGGATGGAGAGGGGTGCTGTGATTTGAGTATCTGGAAAACGTGAGGAAGACTGGGATGCCCACCTGTGGATCATGGACCACAAACCATACCGAGAAAAGCACAGGAGCTACTTCAGCAATGTCAAAACCAGGTAACGGCGTCTTGAGCTTAACTGCTTAGACTTAAAAAATCACTTCAATGTACCTTGTCTCACCACAGTTAACACTTTGTCTGGTAGGGTGTCTGCTTTCTATTTTAAGCTTATTTCTCCTTATTCTTCACTGAGCAAGCAGCATCAGCTCATGTTGTCTACTGCAGGGGAACCACAGGCTACAGTGATGTTGCTTGCTGGTCAGGTAGTCTTGGCATACTGGCTTGGCTCCAGAGTAAACCTTGAGAGTGGCTGGGCTGTTAACTACACTGGCTCAGCCGAGGACAGCCAGCATACTGGCCAGGAGCTATATCAGCCTGCAACTCACAACTGAGAAACCGCTGAAGTTCAGCAGGTGTGAGCCTGGCTAAGGTTGCAGCTGGAAGAGGTGTTAGTGGGGCCAGTAGGGGGCGCTCACCCTGTGGTCTGTGTGGGTCCTAATGTCCCAGTATAGTGATAGGGACAGTATACTGTAAAAAGGCGCCATCCTTCAGATGAGATGTAAAATAGAGGTCCTGACTCTCCGTGGTCATTAAAAATGCCAGAGCGTTGCTCAAAAAGAGTAGGGGTGTAACCCCAGCATCCTGGCCAAATTTCCCCCTGGCCTTTACCTCCTAATAAACCCCATCTATGAACTGGCCTCATTACTCTGCTCCCCTCTGCACTGATAGCTGGTGTGCGCTGAGCGTACTGGTGCACCATGGCTGCTGTCGCATTATGCAGGGGAGTCCCCATTACCTGTAAAGCACTTTGAGTGGAGTGTCCAGAAAAGGGCTATATAAGTGTAGGGGATTTTTATTGTTGTACTGCAAAAAATATTGTGCATGGGAAGTTTGTTCTGAGACTTCATAACCAGCGTTTCCTAATCTCCTGCCCGAAAAAAACAAACGTTCATTTCTTTTCTTATTGACTGATGCACGTCTTTGGCCATCTGAGATGAAGGGGGAGATTTTAGTAAGGTGCCACGTGAGCTGCCAGTGGCTGGCAGCGAGGGCACCACATCCCTGGTGTAAACGGCTTTCCCCGGGAGGCTGCTTCCCAGACAGGCCTGCTTTGTTCCTGCTGCTTTAGGCCTGCGTTGCTGTGTCAATGGGATCAAGGAGTCTGCTGGGGGAATTTCTGCCAAGTCAGGCTTGCAGGCCTGTAGTTTGAAGAAGTTCCCTGTGCTTAGAATTTCACAAGCAAATTAACAAGTATTTCCAGTCTAAACGTTGATATAAGTACATTATTTTCATGGTTAGAATCCTGTGCATTTCTGTTTCTTTTAAATATCGGAAAATAGGAACATGGCTCCCAGTTTAGTTTCAGCGTGTATTACTGTGCGATGTGTTATTTTTATATGAAAAGGTTTATTTCGATTGTTGTTTCTTTCGCAAGAGCCTTGGCACCAGAGTCAGGTAGCCCTTTCTCATAAAGGAGGTGAAGGACTGGCAGGAGCCCATGTGTAAAACAGTCTTTTATTTTACGTTTCATTATAAGAAAAGCCTCTAAAAAGATTTGGTGTTTTCCAGGAAGTGTGCAGGGGAAGCTAATTTGTGCTGTACAATCCACTAATGAAAGGTGGGACCTTTGTGTTGCATGAATCTATTTCCCCACTTCCTCTCATCGAGATCTGGAATGTGTTTTATAATAGAGTAAGAAGATACAGTCCTAAACCAGTTATAAAAGGTGAGAATGTGTGAAGAGTAGGAATATGCTTTGTTACCATGACAATGTTCCTCATTGCAAGTAACTGTTTTGATTAGTTTCTGGATTTCATCTGGAGTGTGTTCAGAGACAATACCAGGTGGAGCTCCTGGAAACAGTTGCCTTTGGTTTTGTTTGTCGTTGTGTCCTGAAAAGGAGACATTCTCCTGTTTCATTGCTGGGTTCTCAGCGTGTCCTTTTTTGTGTGCTCTTTTGTGTTCCTGGAGTTTAAGAAAATAGGCAATGGGGTATGAAAGTGAAGTAGTATTAGAACAGAAACCTGTCAAACCTCTCTGATTACTGAACTTCCTCCTCCAGCTGCCCATAATGGAGACTGGGGGAGGGGCAGTTTCTCTCAGAAGATATGGTAGAGTCCACCCCCACGTCTCGGTTTAATTTGAATCAGGTGGACTGTCAGTGCAGATGTTTATACCTAGTAAAACAAAAGTGAAAGCTTATTTTAGTTTAAATTGTAGCACCTGTATGCATGTCTGTGTGCCTTAAAATTTGAAATAATACACTAATTATCACATGGACACTCCACTCAAGTCGCTGTACAGGTAATGAGGACTCCCCTCCACCACCACCAGTGTGCAGCCCCACCTGGATGATGCAACGGCAGCCATAGTGCACCAGAACACCCACCACACACCAGCTCTCAGTGGGGAGGAGAACAGAGTGATGAGGCCAGTTCATAGATGGGGATTATTAGGAGGCCATGATTGGTAAGGGCCAGGTTAACACCCCTAGTCTTTTCAAGAAACACATAGAGTCAGGACCACGGTTATATGTCTCAACCGAAGGATGGTGTATTTTTACAGTATACAGTTCCCCTGTCGCTATACTGGCACATAAGGACCCACACAGACTGCAGGGTGAGCACCCCCTACTGGCCACACTAACACCACTTCCAGCAGCAGACTCAGTTATATTTTCCCACAGGTTGGGGCAGAAACTGCCAGGACCCCTACTGGCTGGGCACCAGCTAGGGGACACCAGGGGGGCACGGACCGCCCAGCTGACCGAAGGCAGGGGTCATCCCATCACCCAGCCAGCACCCCAGATTACCAGCGGCACCCACATCCCAGTCATCCGCAACCCCCAGCTCCGCAAGTACTACCTGCCAGGTGAGCCTGAGCTTTTCCCTGACCCAAGTGTAAGGTAGGCCAGGGGAGAGGGCTTAAGATGCCAAAATAAAACTCTAAAAACTCCTCTTCTTCTGGAGTTCTGTAGTTAGGCTGAGCCCTAAACCCAGATACTGCTGGATTGAGCCCAGGATATCTGAAGAGACAACTACTGACTCAGACAGTGCTGCACAACTTGCTGAACCCTGCCACAGTCTGGCTCGGCCTGAGTGTCTTTGCCTTGTTGTGACACAGCAGCAGCATGTTACAAAGCATGTGAGCTTGCAGTGATGTCACAGAGGGAAGCTCCTCCAATCGGGGCTACTGCGGGTGCACGACAGAGCACATGGGATCACATGACCAATGGCTATGACAAGGGGGCGTGTCCCGAGTGTTCATGCAGGCTCACTGTCTTCCTGTGCAGTACAGGGCTTGTAGCAGTAAGCAAGCTATAAATAGCTGCTGAACGCTTAGAAAAAAAAAAGAAGAGGCCTTTGTGAACTTTTTGTCACTTAGCCTGTTGAGTCAGAGACTCGTGGAAAGCACTACATGAATCCCGTCTGCAGCTGGTGTGTAGAAGAGCAGAGCTGGTGATGTCAAAGCTGGTGTTTCAGTGAGAAATGCTAGGGGAGTTCATGACCATGTGTTTGAAATTGGTTTTGTAGTGCAATGGTTTGATGACATTTTTTTTGCATAAAAGAATAAAGGAAATTAAAATGCTGCCTGGGAAAACTGAAATATCACTTGGAAAAAAATGTACCATCTTTCAGCATGGATATGTTCCTTTATTCATAGGGAAACACAAGTGCTAACATAACATGATGGAGTTACTGTGAACAGTGGAACTGTAGTCTTGATTTACTGAGACTGCTGAGATGTGTACAGATTGTATCTGTGGCTCTGGGAATCTAGGTCTTGCAAACATCTTGACTTAATAAGGCCATATCTGTCGAGTTAATACAGGTAATGCTGGCTATGGCTGTTATTTATAGTGTTAGAGCTGTAAACCAGCACTGTAAATCATTTTAGAAGTGTTTGACTTTGTGGGAGCAGAACCAACCACACCAGTTACCTCTTAAAAGGAAAAATAAAACTCTTAAGTGTAAATTTGAAATACCCTCTTCATTTTGTGACATTTATACATGGGGCATTAAGCAATACAACTTTGTTTCTGTGGGGGTTTTTTCTGTTTTGAGAAAACAGATTCTTTGTCAACCGGCCCAATTGCTTTGTGGAAGATCAGTAGTGAATGATAGCGCTGTATTGACTTCTGATAGCCACAAAGAAATACCATATTTTTTTCATGTGTATTTCTTTTCCTCTTCTTTCACTTGTTAATTGACAGTCATTTTATTCAGTCATTCCAACACAATGACTGATGGACCAATAGATGCATTGAATTCTTTGGATTATTTCGAGAAGCAGGGCCAGATCTTTAAGTATAATGCCTTGGGTGTGTCACAGGTGTAACACCCAAGTTTTGTGATTTTCTCATCCTAAACACTTTTTATGAATAATAAAATTCTGAACAACAACTTCATAGTTCCTTATTTTCCTTATTTTGAAAGGGGAAACATTTCAGAACCCACTTTGTGAAAAAGCAAAGGAAAGAGTTTTTATATGAATGATCCATTTTAAAGTGAAACATTACTTTGTAGTTGCCATCATATTATATTAGTCTCTCAGAATGGCGTATTTTATTTACAAGTGAATAATAACAAAGTTGTGATATCTTAATATCTTCAAAACATTTTTAATCCGCTTTAAGTGTTACTAAGTTACAAGTGTATTTGTTTGGAACAGGTTTCACCTGGCTGTTTCAAGAAAATACTAGATCATGCACTCTTCTTAAAGAGAATGGCAGGAAAAGTAAAAAAGACACGGTTTCTCTTTTCAGAACTAATGCCCTTTCAGGATGATGCGAAGAATAAAGCTACAGACTTAAAACTCTCAGGAGAAAAAGTTGAATACACAGTAAGTATTCTCACCCCTGGGAAGAAATGAACACTGTTTGAGTTGTAGTATGTTCTTCTGTATTTTAAAGCAATACTTTGGTAGAAATGTGATTTGGGGGAGTTTCTGAAACCTAATACCCAGATACATATTTTAAATATGGCTGTGAAAATGAGATGCACCGTATGTTATTGTGGGTTGATATTCTAACGGTTATAAAAATGAACATTCAGTGTTGTGCTGGATTTGGTTACCATATTGTCTTCAGAGATATTCATACCAATATTAAAAATTCATAATTTTAAAGCAGTTACCTTAGAAACTCGAGTCAATCTCGAGTCATCTTGCCCAGATTGCTCCTTTGATCTAAATATGCTCATAAATAGGCGCCATAATCACTGTGTGAGCTGAAGCCCCAAAATAATTTAGAGAATATTTTGTTGAAACAGAGAAGATGCATTTTTACTGTGTGTTTTTAGAGATTAAAATGAGATTGCTCATTCACATTGATAAATAAACACTATTAATAACTACTATGCCGTGACCCATTCTCCATAGGTTTCTACAAAGGTGATGTATGATACAAAGGTTAAAGGCATGAGCAAGCTCATGTGACTGTAACCATGAAACCGTCAGCAACATAAGGAACATACTCAATGTATAGAATGGTAATGCTTTGCCATGAAAAATGCAAAGAATTTCAGTGACCCGTATTCACAGAGACTGATTCCTTGAGATTCACTGGGTGTTGAAGACTCTGTAAAGGGAGGCTGCCAGCACAATCTCTGCTCCACGGCACTGAGTGTCCCTATTGAAGAGCAGAATTTAGTTGGCCTTTCTGTTTCTCTGGTGAACGTGCCCTGAGTAAGATCAATGCTGCTGTGAAGATCTGTTTCCAGATGAGCCTCTCGGGGCAAAACGACACGACTGCAGGCCTATTAAGAATGGAGAAATTGCAGCCCCGCAATACGATTGAATTGTCTAGCTCCTCTGCTTTGTTAGGCCAAATTCGGCGTGAGATGAGCTTTAAATGCCCGTCACTGATGGTAGTGAAGACTGATCCACACTCTGATCTTCTAGGGGTGGGATTCCCAGTTCAGCTCTTGGGTGCGTGTGATAGTGACAAATTTCTGTTGATACCAATGTGTTGTTTTAGAATGTTACCCAGAGCATCCATTTATTTTTCGAAAAATGAACTACGCAGACCATCTGGGTGAAGAATTGACCTTGGGCTCAGCTGGATTTAATTTGCAAATTACAGTCAAACAATCTCTCGGCAGAGATTACATGACGTACTGTTCACACTTCAGCAACGTGTGATCTTTGGTCCACTGGAGATGTGACTGACGTTTGTGATTGGCTGGCTAGGGTGACGTACAGGGCCTTATAAACTTACACCTGTTGTGTTTCAGGTGCGTCCTGAAGACACACTGTTCAGCGTGGCCTCTCAGTTTCACACTACGCCCAGCCAGCTAGTGAGCCACAACAAACTGAAGTCACACACGCTTATACCAGGGCAGGTAAGTCTACAGCCGTGTTTAATTCTGAAAAGAACAAGCATAGTGACTTTTGAAGAGGGTATGTTTTGATACCCGTGATGTCACTCTGACATTGTAAAGCCACCCTTGTGGAGCAAAAACTGTGTTCTGGTCAAATGTTTCTCCCCAGATTCTGCTGTCTTTAATTTTCACCAATTTCACTTCTCAATTCAGTTATAATCTGTTGAACTCTCTTTAGCAAAAGATTAAATTAAAATCTGAGAAACAGTGAGAGTGTTAATAATTCACCAGTTTAATTACCCACATGATGATGAGAAATAGTACTTTGGACCAGAAAAAAAAATCCTCATAAGCGATCTTTTTTTGCTTTTGTGATTTCACAGGCACAAACTTTGGTTCCACTCATATTCATTTATTTTGTAAAGCTGCATCAAGCTGGATATATAAAATTAAAGATGTGATTATACACGCAGTTCAGCAAAGGTTTGAAATGAGTTCTAATTTGTGACAAAAAAGGCCATTTTCCAGAGAATAGTCCAGCTCTGGACATCTCTTTTATTACCATAATTGGATGTTCAGCAGTGAACATTGCTTTAAACTAGAACTACTACAGATACTTCCACACATGGCACAATGGCTGTTTCTGATAATGTTGTTCTTGCTTTCCAGTAATTTCTGAAACGTCACACAATACAGGCGTCAGTTTAAAGGGGCACTGCCGTCCCGGTTTCTCAAACCTGTTTTTAAATCTTGGTAACAAAATAAATTCATTGACGGTTTCGAACAAATTTACAAATTTCGAATGAAGCACAAAATCGCGAACTTAGTACTTGAAAGTACTGTAAGTTGCCATGTTGTCGCACAGCACTGGTCTTGCCACGGACAAGAGTTCCCACTAATTGCGATGTGATGCGGCCCTTCCTGCTCGCTAGTCACTGTAATAACTAATGCGACGTACAAGCAAATTAAAGACGGTTTGTGCAGCAGATATTTCACTGCAGAACGTTTCCAACATGATCTGCATGCAGAGTTAACAATAAGTTCCATTTATCAGCAAAGCTGTCTTGAAGTCAAGAGCAATATTTCTGTTGGATTAAAAGAGATGTTTTCACAAGCCTGCTTCTTTATAATGTACTGTAAGAGGGCTGGTTCACCTCACTGGAAGTTTTGTTACCTCATTCTGAATCGAAATTGGAGGTTTTACAAGTAAATTAAAACCACTTTTATTGTGGTTTGAAATGCGCTCATCAATGCTGATTCTTTCTAACCCCGAAATATACAAATTGCATTGCAGTTCCCCTTTAAAATGTACTGAGGCCAGGTCTGGTTCCTGCAGCCTCCAGTTGTAGGATTATTTCATGTTCCAGGTGGGGGTTTCCTTGTTCTGTGACACTAGCCACTGAAATGTCTTAGTGGGGTGTTTACACCTTGACTGCTCCAGTGTGCAGTTGCGCTGTTGCTGGCACCGTGGCGACAGATGGCCTCGGTGAAACAGGAAGTCACAGGAGTGGAGGTGTGCGCCTGTTGGGGTCGTACGCCTGTAGCTGTGAGTTTTCCTCTCTCTCCAGCGCCTCTGTATCCCAGAACAGAAGCCCTCCTCTCCCCCACAAGACATACCATCGGACCCCAGTGATCATTCCCCCAGGATGCCCCTCTCGCCGTCTCCTGACTCGGACTATGACAAGCTCCTGGTAAGGAGGGGTTTTGCTCATCAGGTCTCGAATCCTGTTAAGCGTAGGATCAGCTTTTTAATGCCTTTATTTCCACACTAAAGCGGAGGAACAGTGTACACTTTTTACATCTTTAATTGTCATCCTGGCCCATTTGGCTCCAGATAATTATAGGACAAAGGTCTTTAGTTTTAGGCTGGATCACAGTCTCTGTCAGAATTGTAACATCATATAAAGTATAACCATCACAAAACCTTGAATTTCTTTGATTGGTGTGGGGGTTCTCATAAATGTGGGCATATTCATTATCTAAGCATGCTTCTATGGTATTTTTAAACATACTTGCAGACCGTCTTTGAGTGTGCTGGGTGCAGAACAGCTGGCCGAGTATCGATCAGTAGAGAGGAAGTGCTTAATGCTGCACTTTAACTAGAAACTCTTGGCATGGGGAACATTTGAGAAAGAGAGATAGGCCTAATGGAATAAACCCAGTAGGCCAGGTCATCATTGTAAATGAGAATGTGTTCTTCACTGACTTATCTGGTAAAATGAAGGATTGTTATTGCCTCCATTAGCCGAGTCTCTGTGGGATTAGTTCAGGACCACCACCCTGTTTGAGTTCAGCTCGTTTCCTTTCAGCTGTGCTCATGTCTTTGCAGGATGTGGAGGCGGTGCCGATGCCTGACGGACAGCTCTGCCTCTTGGCCCTGCCCCCAGAGTGTTCCCCAGCCAAGAAGGAGGGGCCTGCCATCATGGCCTACTTGAAGCTGTGCTGCCGCTACATCACTGACTGCAAGGTGTGTGCTGCTGATCCAGCGTCCCTTAATTCACTTTGTTCTTGGTGTTTGTTCCCTGCAACGGAGAGCCTTCACCTTTTCAAAGCACAGGATGGGTACCTGAAGAGGTCCGGCCTGTGACTGCCCCTGTTCCTTTCTTGCAGGGTGTGGTGTCGGGCGTCCTGCTTGTCACCCCACACAAGATCTTCTTTGACCCTTACAAGTCCCACCCCCTGGTGCTGGAGCACGGCTGTGAAGAGTATCTGCTCTCCTGCTCTGTGGACAGCATCTCCTCAGCCTCCTTCTTCTCCGACATCTCCAGGGTGCACTTCAGCACAGCCTCGACACGGTCAGTGGGAGAGGGGGCTGGCCGGTCTGGGGTTAGCAGCCATTCTTCAGCCTGCACAGCCTACAAACACTAGACCAGCAGCATCCTCACAGTTTGGCACAAGACATGTTGGATAATGGGTGTAGATTTATTGGCTTTTGGGTGTAAATCCTAACACAATCACAGTCTTCAGGGGTGGATTCACAAGCATGCCATTGTTTATGTGTTATTTATTGGATCTTCTGTAAGTGAGAATGCATTAAAGAACTTCATGCTTGACTGCTTTTAGAAGAAAATGTCTGGCTTACAGGGTGGTTAGTATTGCTGCCTCACAACGCTGGGTCCCTGGGCTCAGTTCCAGACCTGGGGTGCTCTCTGTGTTGAGTTTACCTGGGGTGCTCTCTGTGTTGAGTTTGTATGTTCTCCCTGTCTTAGTGTGGGTTTCCTCTGGGTGCTCTGGTTTCCTTCCACTGTCCAAAGACATACTGGTTTCTGGATCAACTGTCTCTGGTGTGAGCCTGTCTGTGTGTGTCCTGCTATGGACCGGACCCGTCCAGGGTGTAACCTGCCTGAGTTGGACGAGCAGTTAGAAAACGGATGGATGGCCTAAAGATCTTAGCATCCTACTTGTGGGTGGAATTGTGAAACTGTCCTTTTTCTCAGAAATGGCACAAATTAGAGCCAAAGCTGAGAAAATACGGGAACCTTATTGTTACCTTATCACCTTATTTGTTTTTCTCACTTCACAGGATGAAAAGTAGGAAGAAAGTCCAGAAGCCTAAAGCTCTGAACCTCGCAAGAGCTGCCAGAGCAGTCACAACAGTTCCCGGTGTGAAGAACAGCAAACTACCAGACGGTCATGTGGATAAAAGCCCCCCATCTCACCCATCTCCAGCCACGCCAGACGAAAGATTAAGCTCAGTGTTGGATCGCAAGCTGTCTTATGAAGACAGAAGTGGCCGTGGAGATGGTCCAGCAAGCGAGGAGAAAGGGCATCATTCAGCAGTGACTGAGAAACTGGGGAGGGCAGATTCAGTCTGGGGTGGCCACGCCGATGGGCTGTCTGGACAGAACCAAGAGGCAGAGTCTGAAAGCCTAGGAGCGGGGGTGCTGAGCAGTGCTGCCACCTTCTGTTGTGGAGGACTGGAGGAAGAAGGCAGATCAGGAACGGGACCGGAGAAGAGACAGGGGACTGAGCAGCACCCATCTTTAGGGACAGCAGCACCAGGTGAATAGGGCTTTATTTAAGAAACCAGTGCTTTTCAAGGGACCTCATCATGAAGAGTCATGCTGATTCTAAGCAGAACCTCAGTACCTCTGTCACGCTGACTTGGTGTTTGTGACACCATCAAGGGTAGTCTCTGTGGCACGGAAGCGGAGCCCTGGAGGGAGGGCGACGCCTGGCCTTGGTAATCAATCACAGCCGCGCTGGCTGATCCAGGACGAGCTGCGGCTGTGAGGGCTCTTTAAAGGCACACTGAGCCCCCCCGAGGAGGACGAGCAGGGCGACCCCCTGGTGTTCCCGGAGGGGATTGAGCCTGTGTGTGAGGCCGGTTTTCTTTTTATTTTCTTTATCTTTTCGCCTCTCTACCGGGGCAGGCTGACCTTTTCCCGCCACTTGAATGTTTTATTTTGGCCCTGTGCTCCCTTCCTGCTCACCCAGACTGGACCAACAGCTCAACAGGGCAAGTCCAGTCTGGTCCCCGCTGCCAAGCGGGTCTGTTTCCAGGCTCTGCACGACGGCGCAGCGCCTCTCCGCTTTCCGTTTTGTTTTGTTTTCTTCCGGTTCTCGCTGACCTCACACCGGTGCTCGCCGCGGCTCCTCCCACTGCCGAGCTCTTAAGAGTCCAGGTATAGATTGAAAAGGCAGATCTTAAAGCGCCCAGAAAGGACAGCTGTGGAATCTCATCCCTGCATGTGTAGTATTTTCAGGTTTCCATCCGTGTGTGTAATTCTGTTTAGTGTTCCGAAGCCGAAGGGCACAGAGACAGGACAGCAGCCTGATTCCACACGTCCTGGTTTCTTCATCTCCCCAGGCCCAGGCCCGGCCCGGCAGGCCCCAGGACGCCCAGCGCTGATGTTCCTGAGGCTGCGGCTCCGTGTTCCTCCCAGGAAGAAGGGGTTGTTCCCCTCTGAGCCTGGCAGTGCCAAAGCACCTGTGTTCAAGGACGCCTGGTTCACTCTGTCTCAGGAGAGGTAATGGCACACCTGGCCCGGAGGTTCCTATTTCCTTTCGTATCCAAACTAGGGACACAAAGCCCATTCAAATCTGTTACTATGCAGTAGGCAGTTGCCATAGCGGAGGGTAAGGCCTCGTGTGTTACATTTGAAATCCAAGCTTTATGTTATACTTGTCATGGTCAAGCAGGGGTGTTCTATCTCTTTTTTTGCAGTATTAACGCTCATAAAAATAGTATCCCAATGTTCCTCACTGTATAAAAACTCATATTATTCACAATATAGAGCGCACTCATTTTCTCATCTGTTCGGTTTACAATCTCTGATAACAGCGCAGCACAGCAATAGGACAGTTCACTGACCATTCTCAAAATATTCTCTCATAATGTTTTTGCTAAGGGTTGGTACATCCCCAGAATGGTTCTACCCTGCAGAGTGGGCAGTCTGTTTCCTTCTCTTCCCACAGATGTGGATGTGGTGGTTATTTTTAACTTTCTTCTCCACGCGTCCCACTTCTTCAGTCTGCATATGTGTGTTGCCTGCACAAGAGTCACCTCTCTAGAAAATAAGATTTATGGGACGTGGTTATCAAATCCCCTGGGAAACCACTGCAAAATAAGTAATTGATGTCATTGAAGTCATAATAGAGAAATTAAAGGTTGTTTTCTTAAAAGCGAAATCTTTCTAATAGAAACTGAAAGCAGCTGTGCGGTGTGTAGGTGGGAGGATAAGGATACTGTCTAGAAATGGTTTGTCCACAAGAGGTAGGAAAGCAGAAGCCAGTTCAGAGGTGCTGTTAGCTTTCTGGCATCTTGTCCACTGTGTGGCTCTCTGCAGTTCTGACGAGCTGTATGCCTACCTGAGTCACTGGAGACAAGATCTGTGCATCCTGGAAGGGGAAGAGCAGGAGGAAGAGGAAGACGGAGAGGATGAAGAGTTTGTGCTGGTGGATGAGAAGGAAGAGATCTCCTCATCTGAGGGCCGCGTGGCAGAGGACTGGGAGGTACAGCAACAGTGTCTTACCCTTTCTGAATGGATGGTATTCCATTTCACATGGAATCGTCTGGGCTAAGTGGGGATCGCAGTTGGGGAAAAATCTGCACCGTACACATGCATTTAAATGAAGGGTATGGTGGGCCCCATCTTCACTTGGAACCTTTGTCAAACCAACGCAGCCGAACTTGAATCTTCCTGTCTGTGTGATTGGTGTTGATCCTCCAGGTCTTGTAGGATTCTTAAGAAATCCTGCTCACTGTTCACTAAAATAACTGAAGACAAGCTGTGAAAAAGACTTGGAATGGAAGATGGTGAGAGAGCCTGGGTTGTCTTGCCCCATTGTAAGGGTGAGGGTGAGAAATTCGTTTTGAGCCGTTACAAGAGAGCTCTGTAATGCACGGTGCTGAAACATTGCCCATTTTTCTTGACAGATGGTCAGTATGGATGAAGGAGGAGGGCAATCACTGATCTTTGATAAGGAGCCTGAAGGACTGACCGACATCTTGGAGCAGACCAACATCCTGGAACTGCTGCACATCCGAGAGGTGAGCTGATACCTGTTCCTCTGGCCTTGTAAATACACGGCACCCAGAAGCTCTAGGAGAAGCTTTGTGTTAAGCGACTCAGCTGGGCCAGCTTCATGTTTTGTCTAGTGTATTAACTTCCTACCTGGCATCTCAAAATCTCTAACCACCAAACTGGTGAGCTTCATCATCAGAAAGGATCACTCAACCATACCTTCTCACATCCACGTAATCTCACACGCTCTGTGCGCTTCCCAGACACTAGGTTGCAGCACAGATTTTCATGTCAATGTCCGAGAACAAAGAGCTGTTTGATTCCTTGAAGAGAAGTCCCAAAGTGGGCTTCAAATAAAAACATAATGTATATGCGTAACATGTATGAAATGTGATTTATTTTAAATTTTGGATTTTTGCATTATCTCACCCTCCTTGCTGTGAGCATGTTCAAGTGAGGCCAAATTTTTTTAATACTTCAGTTGCAACTGGCTGTCGCACCCAACAATGAAGTCATGTGTTCTCGCTGGCACAGTCTTTCTTGCCCGGAGATTGGTCTCCTCAGGATGTTCGGACTTTGTGAATCTGGCGCAGGGGAGTGGCTCTGTCTTGAAACCTTTTTTTTGTTCCTTTTCTTCCAGATCTCCAGCCACCTGCCCCCTCGAACCGTGGGCCATTCCTGGCAGCTGACATACAGCACCTCGGGACATGGATCCAGCTTAAAGACGCTGTACAGAAAGCTAGCAGACACTGAGTCCCCAGCACTGCTGGTGATCAAAGACTTCCACAACCAGGTGCACTCATGGTCCACTGCTGGGGTTCAGTAACCTGATGTGCCTCCCTCAAGTCATCTGCTTCTCTGTTCTTCATATACCTGCATATGATCAGTAGTTGGGGAAACATGGCTATCTGATTATATACTGTATACAATATTTGAATGTTATTATTGTTACAGTAAGAGCCCACAGCTGGCTATTATCGTTAAGACCGTGTGTTTATTTTAAAATTCAATGCTCGACACATTGAGAAATGAATTTTGCACACCTGAAGAAGGCCTCATAGCCAAAGTGATGTGTTGTACATTTCCTTTCTACTTTTAAGCCTGGAATTAACCTCTACTTCTTGAAACGCGATAAATGAGAGGCAGCGGAATTGTGCACGGCTGTGTTAACGTACTGATCTGTTCTCAGATATTCGGGGCCTATGTGTCCGACCCGCTGAGGCCTAGTGAGGCATTTTATGGTACCGGAGAGACATTCCTCTTCACCTTTCACCCTGAATTTAAGGTGAGGAGGGCCATAAGAAGCCTGGCATGATGTTAAAAAACTCAGACGCCTTTGGCTGCTGGTACCCAGCCGATTTCCTTTTCTTCATGATGTGGTCCTGTTTGTCCTCAGTGTTTCAGCTGGACCGGGGAAAATTCCTTCTTCATCAAAGGAGACCTGGACTCTTTCGCCATCGGAGGAGGAAGGTGAGGTCTCCTAACCCCCTCTCGTTCTCTCTGGGTGTCTGTTTAATGTGAAACCTGCTCTTGTCGATATGTCTGGGCCAGGAGACGTGTTCATTTGAAAAGGGAGGCTGTTGTTAGTTCCAGAATCAACAATAAATGAGCAGAAAAAAACAAAAGGAAATGTTATAATTTAATAGTAAAACTTTTTGGGGGGTTTCCCCCCCAAATTTAACATTTACAACAGGAAACAGCATTTATATTAAGTCTCCTATATGCACTGCAGACCTACACTGAGTATCTGTAAAATGTTGGAAAGACCCAGTTAAATCTGCTCTGCTATTCCTCTCATAAATCTGTCTTATATTATTGATCTTAAAATTGAGATTTGTACCTTTCAGCATCCACATTTCAGCAAAACACAAAAACTGTTGTGTAATTAAGTGGGGAAGAAAATATGTATCTTTGAATTGTGTGTTGATCTGTAAGTGTTCTTTCTTATAAGATATCTTATAAAATTTCTAATTTGGAAGATGCTGCCAAACAGAATATACATGCTTACAATGAAAGGTTAATGGTCTAGACTAATAAAATGTTGTCTCTACAAATGTATTTAATTTAAATGTTATTTTAAATACACAAGGGGAGTCTGAGTTCCAGGAGATCTCAGAAACATTCGACGTTAATATTTTATATTTTTCCACATCCATATTGCCTTCACATTTTTTTTCCTCCAAACATTGTCTATTTAGTTTGGCCCGTCTTTAATTCAAGCTAAATCTGGCCGTGCAGCTCCAGATGTACACACCTGGGTACAATGACAGCTTTTAACCCGAAACGAGTAACTGAATCGCTCTGGTTAAGTGAAAACCCAGCCGCTCGCATCGAAAAAGGAAAACTAGCAGCAGATCTCGACGATCATGGGCTTGCCACTCCGTGCTACGCTGGAAAAACTGGGGGGTGGGAATGTTGGCTCTGTGGAAGAATGACCCCGGCTCTGGTTTTCTCTCGATCCACAGCGGTCACTTCGGACTTTGGGTGGACGAGAACCTCTACCTCGGCCGGAGCAGCCCCTGCAGCACCTTCCACAACTGTCCCCTCTCCAAGACGGACGACTTCCGGGTGATGGAGCTGGAGGTGTGGACCTTCTGCTGAGGCCCACCAGCGCTGCACGGACGAGCCCACGGCGGTTTCTGGGCAGGGCAGGCTGCCTGCTGCTGCAGAGGAATCCCAGCGCTGTGGTTATCATGACCGAACCCCGAGCTCTGCCGAGAAGAGCCGAGAACTTTGACATGTGATGTTGAAGGACTGGCGGCACCACTGAACTGAGCTTCCCTAAGGAGAAGGAATACTGTACATGAGGGTACCTGAACGAGGTTCTTTTCTACAGAACCCCAGAGTGCAGGGAACTGGTGCGAAGCACTCCTGAACACTTCAGTCTTGTGTGATAAAGATCTTTCTGCGCTCATTTACAGCACTGCATTTGGCTTGGGCACTGGCTGCCTCATTGTGTACACCTGCGCTAAATGAAGCGATAGAGAAAGCTTCCGTCGTAGAGCAGAAACCCGAGACCCAGGGTGTATCGGCCCTGGGCTTCTGAGCACTGGGAATGGTGAGAAAAACATCTTTGGACAGGGGCTGGCATTTAGCTGTTTGCAAGCTTAAATGCCGAAAATGCAGAGTCACCCAATCAGACAGGGACTTGATTCTGAATCAATATCCAGACTTCATTATGTACAGCTATTGTCCTTCTTTGATTCTGGTTTACTTCCACCTCTATCAAATAAGTTCAAAGCTAGTAAGCATGCACTTACACACTACTGTATAAATGAAGGCAGAAACTGTTAGTATAATAATAGCAAATAGCTATTTTCCAATTGCACTGCTATCGCCCATGATTCACAGTCGTTGCTTTTACTATGCTCTCCATTTGGAATCTTCGGAAAACCATGCAATGTTAAAAGCATAGTGTGTAAAACACCATAATTAAACAGAATAATAATATTTTAGCATTGTCAGAAGCTTGGGCACATTTATTCAGCAACCTGTGGAAGGATTGTTCTCCTTTGATATCCTTAAGACAAGTCCTGTACATATCATTTAGACGGGTAAGGCCTGTGATCTGAAAAAAAAACTTTAGCACTGCCCATCGAGCTTCCCTCTTCAAAAAAGTCACCAGTTGCTGTTTTCCTTATAAACCACAAGCTATAATACATTAAGCAGCTGTTCATTTGCTAAGCAAGCACAAAATACTGTTGCCTGCGCTTGAACAAATGACAATTTACAGCAGTGTTTGTACTGACATAACCGACACAGGTTTATAACTGCAGTTCTCTAAGGGTTAATTTTAGAGGGGTTGGAAAATCCTCAAGATGAACCTGAAACCTAAACCTCACAGCTGAAGCAACTTGATGTCAGTTGTTTCTTGCCAGGCAAGCCAGGCGATGTACAGCAGAAACACTGCAGTACTGAACGAGATAATTATTTGCTGCTGAGGAATTTCTAGTCTAGGAAATGTATAGCCCAAATCTTTCTAATGGGATCTTTTGCCCCAACCACCTCATCAGAAAGACGAACGCTCCACCACCACCCTATGATGAATAATTAAGGAAAAACACCAAAAGGGGGGGAAACACGTTTCTATGAATATTCACCAGAAGGCTGGTGTAGTTTTATGTGCGTTACATCAGCAAAGGGAGTAGGGTTTTTCATAAGGCAATCTGACAGAACTCAAAAACTTACAGTTCAACGGATTGATTTTATTTTAAAAAACAAAAAAACGAGACCTTTAAAACACAGCGAAAAACCAGCATCTGTGAGGAAAGGTGGGGTTTTTGCCCTCCAAACAGTTTTTGGACTCGCCTGCCTAGGCTGCCCTTAGACCACAAGGGTGTCGTGTTGCGCAGACGAGAAAAAACAAATCCGTCCCCCTGCGGTGTTGCATGCAGACCATCTGCTTCCTCTCGGGGAAGAGCAGGGGATTTGCATCCAGAGACCACCGCAAAACATCAGACCTCCCCCGGCCCACACAGAGCTTTCAGACGAGGCCGTCACTAACTGCAGCAGTCTTGGAAGCAAGAATCCACTCCACCCTGCCCCCTGCAGGCAAGTAAGTGGTACCGCAAACACTGAAAACAGACCTTGCAGTGTACGAAAGTATTGCACATTTCAACGCTACAGACAAGAAATGAAAACAAAAAACAGAAACGTAAGGCAATCAACTCACGCAGTGCAGTTTTTGCTGTTTTGGTATAACAATTTTAAAAATAAAAACAAGTAGGAAATTAGGAAAGTCACCCCAGTTTTGGCCTGGTTAAATAAAACAGCACAAGCCCATCAGGAGCCAAGCAAAGGCAAAAATGGAACCTGTTATTCGTGTGATAAGGAAATCAGTTCCATCAGAACATGTGCCACTGGAATGTGCCTATTCTGTGGTTTCATTTTTTTAATTTATTTTGGTGCGGGTGCCTCTTGTTTCAGGCAAGACTTGAAACATGCCAGGCTGCCAGTAGGGAAATAACAGAATTGCAAGATCCGTTATGAACAATCCTTAACAAAAGACACTAAAAATGCAACAAGTGCTCCAGTTGTCAGCTGCTGCAACTTAAATGACTCTCAGTATATATAATGCGAGTCACAACAGGTCAATGGCACGGTCCTCAGTTACAGAGTAACGCCTAAAATTCCAATACATACCCAACACATACAATAAACGTAATTTTTATGTTACGTTTCAAAGTAAAAAAGTCATTATCAACCATCTTCCTATTAAATAACTACTAACCGCATAATTAATAAAGTATTCATTGATGGTTCAGACTCACTTATAACAGTTCCCTAAACTAACATGCTAGCATCCGTAGGAATCCTTGTGGCATAATGATTGTCTGCTTCCAACGGGGAGCTGGCTCCTGTCTGGACAAGAATCGGACACACCCATGT